TATATATATATATAGAGTAAGGTTTAATTTACAAGTTAGAGCAACAACAACCCAGGTGTGGTGGTGTACACCTGTGATCCCAGAACTCAGGAGGCTGAGGCAGGAGATTGCTGCAAGTTCAAGGCCAGCCAGCCTTAACTACATAGCAAGACCCTGTCTCGAAAAAGGAAGTGTGTGTGTGTGCTGTGGATATAGTTTAGTGTGAAGGCTCAGGGTTTAATTCCCAGTACTGCAAACAAGTAATAATAAAAATTATAGCTATATTGTGATGAAAGTAATGTAAAGTTTATCAGTTCTTGGAGTTCTCAGCGTAATATTTTTCAGCTGTGAGAGTGAAAGCCTGGGTCAGGGATACCTTCTGCTGCTGAGCTCAGTCATAAACTGGGAGTAGCTCTGGCCAAGAAGGGCTTTTTCAGTGGTAGATTAGAGAGAGGGATGGCAGCCAGCACTGTCTGTGAACTGTTCTTCCTGAAGCAGGAAATCTGTATATTTAAGCAGGAAATTGTATATGTAAGGCCATCATGGTGGCGGGGGCATGTTGGGACAAGGCTAATGTAGAACTCAGATCAAGGCCTACTGACAAATACTCAATTATTTGTTTTAGTCCAGCAACTATTTTTACTATTCCTAAATGAGTTGAACACTTCACATGAAGGATTCATTTAGGCTCATTATAATCAGCTGTGCTATGTAGACACTCTTGAATTGTACTCTTTTTTTATTTAAATCAAAATTTGGTGTGGTGGGATTGGAGGCAGATTTCTTTTTTTGATTGCAGTAGGTGGAACATTTTAAGGCGTTTTATTCTTTCTTACTCCAGGTGTTACATACTTTTGTGCGAAAGAGGTGTTATCAGAGAGTAAAGAGGATGGCTTCTTTTTCCTCTCCTCCGTCCAGCTTTTGCACCAGTGTGGAAGACTTTTATAAGGAACACCCCTAAATGAAATTCTTCTCTGAATTTAGAAGAATGAAACAGGTTTTAGAGGGAGTGTGAGGATTGTGTTGATGGGAATGATTTTGTTGTTAGAAAGGGAGAAAGGGAAAAAGAAAGCATTATTTTGTTTGTCAGAACTGTGGCCATATTCTGTTGTGACTTCAAATATTCCTTGATATAACTGAGAATCTTTTAGAGAGGGGTTGGTAGTCTTTTTCTGTGTCGCGTTAGATAGTCAATATTAGACTTTGTGGTTACACAGTCCGTCATAGCTACACAGCCAATGTGTAAAGACTACCTGTAGCTGTGCTTCAGTGAAACTATTTAGAAAACCAGGCAGCAAATTGGAGTTGACTTGTAAGTTGACCCCTACATTAGCAGAATTAAAATTTCAATTTTTTTCTCTTGTGAAGATTATGTGACGATTATTAATCTTCTTTGAAGATTATGGTGCCTAGCTCTGTACTGCAGTGGTTGACAGTGGAGGGCTGAACACAACATTTTCATGTTTTCCTCTAGAAGATTAACAGACCTTTGAAAAATGTGCCATAGTTGAGTAGTGTGCTTGTGTGGTGTTGGGGGACAAAGACTTCAGAGCAGGTTGCCATCTGTCTTCCTCCTGTAGGTATCCATTCCCTGTGAAAACGGTTTGTCAGCTTGTGTTGATTGCACAAGTGCAAGGGAGGAACACTTGTTACCTTAATATCCTGTTTGAAAGAGTATGTTTCAGTTGAGGTTCTTCGCTGGGACAGCATGTTATTTGAATAAGCAATTCTTTAATGCTGATTCTACTTCCTCTCTAATACCTGTAGGGATTAAGACAATGTGTAGAGATTAAGATAATGTTTTCATATTTGTGTTTTCACAATTTGTAGGCAGAGTAGTTGTGCCTAGGCTAGAATAAGTATTGTGGCAAGATGATATGTAGAGTGTAAAATGAAATACAGCTGTCATCCTCTTATTGCCTAGAGTGTAATCTAAATAAATGAACCCTACAGACGCAGCTTTCCCCTTTTGTGAGCATGAATAATTAGGCAGCATATTCCCAGATTTGTGCATTATTTCCTGCATTCAGCATCTGTAGTGGAATAATCCTCCTGAGTATCTAAAATGAAATTCAGGAAATTGATTTTATGCTAATGAAGAATAGTGGAAATGAATATTAGAATAATGTAACATTAAAGGGGAAATGTTACTTATTGTGGCTTCAAAGCATGACCCAGATATTTAAATATTAATCAGATTGGATTTCATGTACCACTGACTATGGTTAAAACTTTTGAGAGGTTTGTGCCATCACATACATTTCTTCAGCTAATTTCAATTTCTTCTCTAAGATGTGTAAATAGAACTATTATCATGGTCAGTAGTTTGTAGTAATTTTGGTTTTTAGTTCTTAAACTGATAGCCCTTGAAGGATGACAGAAAATGGATTTTCCTCCCATAGATGCTGTGGTGATGACTTACTGTGTTAAAGTTTTCAACATGAAAGATATTCAAGGTAGTGTATAGTGTATATGTTGTGTATGCTTTGAGCAAATTTTTTGACCAGTTGGGATGGTTATAAGTTTATATTTTTGACTCATGGCAGTTTACTTGAAATATGTTTCATTTCAGATGTAATGATGGCTTTATTTAGAAGATGGTTGAATTGAATTTTATAGTATAAAAGATGTACTAGATAGACCAATATATAGAAAAAAAAATCTTACTGTAAAACAAATACACAGTGGATTATTGTGTCTTATCTGACATTATTTTCTTTTATATCTTTTTTCCAGATAAATGTAAATGACATTACAAGATTTTCAGATTTCCCCTTATCTAAAAAAACACTGAAAGGTAGGTATGTGGTAATCTTGGGACATATTATTGGATTTACTCATTTTTTTGTAGGGTTACACAGTTTGGATAGAGGTTAACCCTAAAATCTTACTTTGACAAATAATTTTGATATCATGAAAACCTGTAAGAATACTTCAGTTTGAGCTGGGCACGGTGGTACACACCTGCATCTCTAGAGGCTGATTCAGGAGGATTGGTATGAGTTCATCACCAGCTGGGGGTACATAGTGATTTCCAATCCAGTGAATTACGTAGTGAGAGCCTATTTCAACAAAACAACAAAACAAAACACCTGAAAAACTATAGTTTATCAACTTGCCATTCCCATTCTTTCTGGACTGGTTAAAGAATCTTAAAAAGATCTCAGGAACCTCTTAATTATTAAAATGAAAACTAATTGTGTTGTTTGAAATAAAGAAGAGAACAAAAATGTATCACCCTTTATATTAGTTTTCTAGGGCAGCCATAGGAAGATACCTGAGTGGATGGCTTAAGCAACAGAAATTAATATTCCCATAGTTTAGAGGTTGGAAATTCAGTAGGCTGGTAAGGCTTGGTTCCTCTCACAGACACGAGGGAGGATCTCTTCCAGTCCTCTTCCTTGCCTTGGAAATGACCTCTCTGTTGCTCCTTTTTTGTTTTTCCAAAACAATTATTTTTACCATGTACAAGATGAGGTTTTGAAATATGTATACATTGTGGGATGGCTAAATCAAGATAATTAATATATATGTGTGTGTGAATAGCCTCAAATACTTATTTTTCCTTCCTGATAGACACTTAAAATCTGTTAGCAGTTTTCAAATGCACAGTATATTTTGATTAGCTACAGTCTTTGTGATGATGTACAGTAGCTCTCTCGTACTTATTCTGCTTGTCTAACCAGAAGTTTTGTGTCCTTTGAGCAATGTCTTTCTGGTTTCCCCATCTCCTCCCCTGTGGTAACTGCCATTGTATTCTGTGCTTCTTCAAGTTTGTTTTATTAAGCCCGCATATATCTGGTACTTGTCTTCCTGCACTTATCTTATTTCATTTAATACAGGTTCCCTCCAGGTTCGCCCTTGTTGTCACCAGTGACAGCATTTCCTTTCATGGTACCTATCTATCTCACTCATTAGCTTTTCACATGCTCGTCTCTGTGCGCACATGCACCCTTGGCATCGCTGTTTTCAAATTTCTTCTAAAGATACCAGTCTTAATGGATTAAAGACTTCCCCTAGGGACTGACTGTGACTTAGTCACCTCTTCAAAGGCTATCTCCAAACAAGCATATTATGAAGTTCTGGAGGTTAGGGCTTCAACATAGGTACTTTGAGGTGGGAGGACACATTGCTCAACCTGTAACACTATCCTATAGGAATTTTCTGAAGTACCAGTCTCCCCTCCTCATTGCTAGGTTTGCAAGAAGCCCAGTACCGGTTGGTAACTGAGATACAGAAGCAAACAATTGGGTTGGCTTTGCAAGGTAAAGATGTACTTGGAGCTGCCAAAACAGGATCTGGAAAGACATTGGCTTTTCTTGTTCCAGTAAGTACTTTTATATTGGGTCAGGTCCTCTTCTATACAGTTTATAGCATTTTTTTTTTGCCTGTATGGAAATAATGATGTAAAGGATTGTTTTCATGTTGGATTTCCTTGGGTTGAATGCAAGCTTTATCAGACAGCAGCCACATTTGTCTTATCTCCCTACCGTTTTCTCTAGCTCCTAGCATAGTACCTGCGTATGACAGGCTCTCCATAATGTATTGAATCAGTTATTATTATTATTGTTATTTAGTACCAGGGATTGAACTCATGACCTTGCACATTCAAGGCAGGCATGGTGTCACTGAGCTAAATCCTGGGCCCATTGAATCAATTATTGTGCCTTAATAAACCTTGAGAAGCCATCTCATTCTTGCAGGATGCAGATAGTCCCAGTGTGACAGTTCACACCAGTTATGCTCTGCAGTACAACAGTGGGGAAAGTTGTTCCTGCTTTCACGAAGCCTGCCAGTGACATCGATACCTTTTTGTTCCGGATAATGCTGCAATATATTTGAAGAGATTTGGGCATTTCTTGAGAAATTTTCAGGACATTGATAGCTGTCCCAATAGAATAGTGGAGCTTAGGAATTTATTTACATCTCAGTTAGATAGTTCATCTCCTAATATGATTTCTACAAATCACTTGTTACAGTATTGCAAAACCATTTCCTCTTAAGTCTTGGTATTTTTTTTTTTTAACAATAGTGTCCTTCTATAGTTAAAGAATTCAGTCATATATGACTGTAGCAGCTATACAGATGAAAGTTAATTGTAGTGTAGTTTCTGTTCAGAAAATGAGAATTAAAAAAAAATTGTTTCAGTGGTCTCTGGGCCGTACATACTTTTCTGTGTTAGCCAATCTCCTTATAGCATGGCCCTGGCATCTGATGAGCTGGCCCAGGCTTTTCCCACATTTTTGAAGTGGGAGGAGGGGTACTTCTGGTAGAAAAGAAAAAAAAAACAGTCTCATAATGGATAAAACTTCTCTGATTGGCGGGGCAAGATTGAGACTTAGGTCAAAAATAACTTTTTTTTTGTTGTGGTACCTGGGATTGAACTCGGGTCCTTGTGCTTGTGAAGCAGGCTGCGGAACCACTGAGTTAAATCCCTGGCACAAAAACAACTTTTATAAGGAATTTCTGAATATAAATTTATTGTCTTCAAGGTGTTGGAAGCTTTGTATCGTCTGCAGTGGACCTCAATGGATGGGCTGGGTGTTCTGATAATATCCCCTACAAGAGAACTGGCTTATCAGACTTTTGAGGTTCTCCGAAAAGTAGGAAAGAATCATGACTTTTCAGCTGGCCTTATTATTGGTGGAAAGGTTTGTGTCCTTTTGTCTTTATCCTCTTTTTTTCTTCAATAACTTGTATTAGTGTACTGTGGCAGATGCAGGGAGGATGTGGAGATTTCTTCTAAATAGACTAGTCTCCTAGAGAAAGCATCATGAGCTGGGTATCACCTTTGTGTGGTTGTTCTCATCTAGAGTCTCATTGTCAGTTTTGTAGGTTCAAAAAAGTCCATTTCTCAAGGTCTTTTAATTGATGAGGCTATAAGATAGATGTACAGGATAATCTCGAGTAAATCTATTTGTTCATTTACTTTGAGAAAGATCACATTAAAGTATATGGACCAAGTTCCTTTTAATAAGGTTTCTGTCTAGAAGCTGAATAATTCAGAATATTGCTTTCTTTGTCAACAGCAGAAAAAGGAAAGTGATGGTTTTGAGAAATGTTTGCTTTAGGCCATGGTAAAACCTACTCAACTTTTGTTCTACCCTATGAGTATATCTGAAATGCTTTTATCTGCCAGGGTTTTCTCTAGACTGTGAGGATAAAGATTTCTTGAATTTCTATGTGTACAAATGCAGAAGAAGAAAAACCAGTGTCACAGACCTTATACGCTCATGTGCCTGACACACAACTTTAACAGTTAGCATTCTGGGGTTCTTGTTGAAAGGAGAGAACCTCTAAAACAGAGCTCAGCTCTTTTTTCTAGTCCACGAAGTATAGGAAGATGTGTGGGGGAGCCAGTTCAGTGCCCGTGGGTCCTGACTTAAAGAATAGGAGCAATTCCATTTTTCCAGTCAGTCCTTGCAGACTTACTAGGAAATCGAGTCTTGGAGCATTTGTTTAACAGTTTTTCTTGGCTGCGAAATCCTGGGTATGATTAAGACACTAAAAACTCTGAGTTCCTTAGGCCTTTACCAAGGTCTTTTATTTATCCCAGAAATGTGGACATGCTACAGAAATAGAAGAGAGAAATTATGTCCAAGAGTTTTTAGTATTTTATAGTTTAGTAAACAGGCTGCTTAGAAAGATGCATGTGTAATAAAAAAATAACTTTTTAAAGGATCTGAAACATGAAGCTGAGAGGATCAACAACATAAATATACTTGTTTGCACACCCGGTCGGCTTCTTCAGCACATGGATGAAACAATATGCTTTCATGCCACCAATCTCCAAATGTTAGGTGAGTTTTTAAGGAGAAAATACTTATAGGAGAGAGCTCTCATAAGTTTTAATGATAGGAATGTTATATGGGATATATTTTAGAATTTAAAAAATCTGTGAAAGCACTTGTAAGTTTTTGGCGCTTGGGCTCTAAACCCAGAATATAGACTAAGTTGTTTTTTGTTTTTTGTTTTTAATTGAAAGAACATAGTGCTCTTGTATGAAATTAGGTACTTTAGTGTTAGGCATTGCCAAAGATTTTCTAATACTGGTAACTCAATCTTTCCTATTTTTTTTCCGGTACTGGGGATTGGACTCAGGACCTTGTGCTTGTGAATTAGGTGTGATGCCACTGAGCTAAATCCCTGGCCCTTCTAGTAACTCAAAAGAGCAAATTATAGTTTTTAAATAAACTTTTTTCTTTTTTGTGGATGCTATTACATAATATGTACTTTAATCAACTTCAAAAAATGTACTTCTGAACTTACAGAAAAATTACAGTGATGGAAAGAGTTCCTGCATGCCCTCTACCTAGTTTTAACCTCTTACCTTTATCAAAAATAAATTTAACATTGCTGGGGATTTAACTCAGTGGTGCCACGCCTGCCCTACAAGCACAAGGCCTTGAGTTTGATCCCTGGTGGGGGTGGGGTGGGGGTGGAATTTAACATTAGTTCTCTATATAAGTTAAACTACAGATTTTATTTAGATTTATCAGTTTTTGTAGTAATGTCCTCTTTTAGGATCCAATCTAGGATACTATAGCTTAATGTATATTTTAAGTGCTAATAGTTGAACTGGCATTTTCCTTTTCTAGTTCTTGATGAAGCAGACAGAATCTTGGATATGGGCTTTGCTGATACTATGAATGCTATTATTGAAAATCTTCCCCAGAAACGTCAGACTTTACTTTTCTCAGCAACACAAACCAAATCTGTAAAGGATCTTGCACGCTTGAGTTTGAAAAACCCTGAGTATGTTTGGGTTCATGAAAAAGCAAAATACAGGTATGGACTCTGATTCAGTCAACACACACAAGCATTTTGTTTTTCTCCCCTGCTGGAGATTGAACCCAGGGCCTCATGCATGCTAGGCAGATGCTGTACCACTGAGCTACAACCTTAGCTTTTACTTTTATTATTCTTTTAAGAATTTGATATTTTAAATTTGTATTTTCTAGAGAGTAAAATTTTATTAGATATGCAAAACATAGTAAATGTAGCAGTTTGAATTATTCAAATTATGCATATGTCTTTTAATGTGAGAATAATGTAGCATTTCCCCAAATATGGACTGGAGAACATTTAAATAGTTTTCTATAACAGACATACCATTTAACAACACTCCTTGCTTCCACCTCCAGTAAATAAGAGGGGCTGAGGTTTTGGACTGAGAGCTATTATTGAGTCAAAGTGAAAAACATTTTTTAAAAAGACTTCTTAGCACCTTTAATGTTTTCATAGAGGCTATAACTCTTCAAAGCAGTGGAAGGTGGATACAATGTGCTGTATCTACCACAATTACTTGGGTACAGGATCATTCTCTTGAGCAGTGTTATGCAGTACTAATATACTATAGAAAACATTTTATCAAATGCACTAATATTTAACAAAATACCTTCTTTTTTTTAACCTTTATGTTTAAAACTTTTGCAGCAACCGTTATTTTGTTTTGATTTTACTAAAAGAGAATAAAAGATGTGTGTTCATGTGACAGTAAAAAGTGATTGTGGTATGCACGTGGTTGGGGAACATGTTTTAAATTGCATTTTGATATGACAGTTATAAGTACCTGAATGGCTGGTATGTGTCATTGCACACTTTAGACAATTGACTTTAAATGCTTTCTAGTGAAGTAAGTTCAAAATTTTGTATTGAAGATTTCAAAATAGATTCAACTTTATCATTGTTGACATCTTAAATTTTTATTTGTTTTTACAGTGGAGCATTAGCGTAAAAGAAATAGATTTGGAAAATGAATTGAGTTACTCTGCTTGAAAGACTTTACAGAAAATATAGGTATTTTTTGAAAGAAAGCGGCGCATGTCAGAGATCACTCCACACACAGACAGAGCTCATATGAGAGATTTCTTGTAAAGCCGCTGCACCACAGTGGCCTCCTCAGTGAAGGAGGAAGGAGGAGAGAGAGGGCTGGGTGGAAGGGGCTTGGTTGTATAGCGGGTGGCTGGAGTGAGCAGGTCGGGGAATTGCATCAGCTGCTCGGGCAGCCGCTTGGGGTCATTATTTGTGATCCATTCCTTATATCGACAAGTCTTACTTGTGTGTCGGTTTTGTTTATGGACAATGACGCATGATATAGGAAATGGAAACTTAAGGTATAAAATGGTGTCGCCAACCAAAGCGGCGACAGCCATATCAAGGTGGTTATCTTACATTTTTGTTTACCGTGATCTTGTTGAATATATATCTAAGATTAAAAAGATCCTGAAAGTAAATTCTGTGCTTCTAGGTGGTCCTAATGGGTAAACTTTGGAGATTCTGAGCCACTTCAGCTACTGGGAATTTGGGAGTGAAATAGCAGGAGAGACTTAACCTGTGGCTTCTTCCTTGTCTCACTGTTGGGGAGATGTTGATTTCTTCATGTTATGTTGAGATAGCTATTAAAAGTTTTGTTATACTTAATAGTGTCAGCAGTGTCTAGTTGAGTCACTGAATTAGAATTATTATCCTTGTTCCCAATTTCTGTAGATAAGATCGGTTATCTCTATATCATAAGGTTTTAGAAAAACTTTAATGCAAAGGCTGATTTTTGAAATACAATTCCTTATAAAAAGCATGGTTTTTAGAAAGAAAATTTGAAGTTAGATATATAGTGACTATTAAAACTGCTGTAGAGGGCCGGGGATTTAGCTCAGCAGTTCGGTGGCCTGTCTCGCAAGCGCAAGGACCTGAGTTCGATCCCTGGTACCAAAAAAACCCAAAACAAAACAAAACAAAAAAAAAAACTGCTGTAGATTACATGAAAGTTTAGATTTTTTCTGAAGTTGTATATCACAGTATACTCAGAAAAGGCATACCACTTGTTTTCTTTGTATTACTATATGAGGATGAATGGTGTTTCTAGTCGTATTAAAAGAAAATAGTTGTATCTGGGCCATATAAATTTGCTCTGTATTCTAGTGACTGTAAGTTAAATTCTATGATAAATTGGGAAAAATTTCTAATTTATTATTAGGTGCGTACAAATTTAGTACATATTATATTTCCTAATTTCAAACTTTAATCATATAAAATGTTTCCTGTTGTCTTTATTAGTATTTTTCCTTGTAATGTCTAATTTGATATTAGGTAACCAAACTTCATTTTGGTTAGGTTTTTTTGTTGTTTTGTTTTGTTTTTTGAGACAGGGTCTTGCTATGTAGTTCAGGCTGGCCTTGAATTCACTATATTGCGAGCTAGCTCAGGCTGGCCTTGAACTCACGGTGATTCTCACGCCTCAGCCTCCCAAGTGCTGGGATTACAGGCCTGCACCATGATGCTTGTCTTTGGTGTGTTTTTTTTGGTACCGGGGATCGGTCCTTGTGCTGGAGAGGTAGGCGGCGGATCCACTGAGCTAAATCCCCGGCCCTTGTTTTTGGTTAGTATTTTAGTGTTAATTTTTTTTCCCCCATCATCTTTTTTTTTTGAGACAAGGTCTCACTATATAGTTGAGATTGCCCTGGAACTCACTATGTACCCAGGCTGGTTTTGAACTCCCAGTGATCCTCCTGCCTCAGCCTCCTGAGTGCTGGGATTTACAGGCGTGCGCTACCACACCCGGCTTCCCTCTATCATTTTACTTTCTTTTTTATGCTCTTATGTTTTTAGATTTATCTTTTTAAGTAGTATATTCAAATTCCTTTACTTCCTACCATTTGTCTTCATTATTATATTTAATCTAGCTTTTACAGTTGGTATTACAGGTCAGAGGGTTAATCTTATACCGCAGCTTCTTTATGTCAGAACTAACAGCTTTTTAACCTTCTAATTTTAGTATCTGAGGGTAATTATTGCCTAGCCCCATTTTACAGTTTGCATCACTGTAATATTTTACATCTGTCATTTGTTCTTTAGCTGGAATTCACTAATTTCAACAGCTGTCCCATATGAACTATGTGACTGAGCTACAATTCTTACAAGAAAGCCCAAATATGACAGTGAATGCTATATTCTCTTTGTCAGCCTTTAGAGCTTGTTTGGAAGTTCTAGCAGGGGAGCGCAGCTACTCATATACCCTTGAGTATACAGTCCTCCTCTCCTCTCTTGGGCATGGTTGTTCTCTTTGACCGCCGAGCATCGCATTGGGAGGGACACATATGGAGCCCTGCGGGAGGAAGGGGACACCTGCCTAGCCAGGCCAGGTCAGCCGAATCAACCCTGACAATCAATGGGGCGACAGATGTCTCAGCCGGATCGCCCTCACATCCTTTGTCAGCTTTTAGGCTGAGTTGGTTCCCTAGCATTTTCTGAAGATGAGCAATGTGTTTTTTTTGTTGTTGTTGTTACGGGGGTTTGATCTCCGGACTTTTCTCTTGCGAGGCAGGTGTCATCACCACTGAGCTAAATCCCTGGCCCTGAGCAGTGCTTTTTGATCCAAGTGAACTTGGATTTAATGATTTGTGATGACTCAGTCAGTGATGAGTTAATGATGTTTAACTCAGTTTTAAACATTGTCTTTTTTGTGTCTTTCAGTCACTGTTTTTAATACTTTTCTTGAGTTGTCCCAGTCTTGACTATTAGAAGATGCTTCAAGTTGTTACCTGGGTCCTTTAGACATATCTCACTAGTGTTTGGATTCCTTAGTTTGTGTGCTACAGGTTCATTTTATGTGTTTCCAGCTCTTACAAAAAATTTTTTTTACCAGGATATGGTATTTAAATATCAGTGTAAGTGACAGTGGGCTTGTCATTGTGTTTAGGCTTTTCAATGGACAGATTCCTTTTCAAACAAACAAAGAAAAAATAAGCCCACATTGTCGGGCATGATGGTGTACACCTGTAAGTCCAGCACTTGGGAGGCTGAGGCAGGAGGATTTCCATGAGTTCAAGGCCACCCTGGGATACATAGTGAGTTCAAGATCAACCTGAACTAATAGCGAGACCCTGTCTCAAAAACGAAACAAAACAAAACAACAACAAACTGTGTCGTGAATTCATGCTCATATTTATAAATCAAATTTAGGATTACAGGTTTTTTAGTCAGACTCCTTTTATTCATAGTGTATCTCTCTTCCTCCAAACACCTTCATGCCTACAGAGTTCTATTTATTTGTTCTATCAGTCAGTATATATGGAATAATTTCAGGATAGTATCGGTATTAACAATGTAGTGCTTAAAACTTGACATTATTTTGATTTTTTTTTCCTACATAGTACAATACAGTTGTAACAATTAGAGTTCTTGGAAACAGTTCCTGTCATTAAACTGTCAATTTAATATATTTTGGGCTCTTTTGCTTCATTTTTGTTTTTTAAACCTTCAGTTTTTCTGTTACCATATTTTTCTGAGAATATGATCTATTTCCTTAATTTTTAAAGATTTACTTATTTATTTAAGAACAGTTTCAGTTTCACAATAAATTGAGAGGAAAATTCAGAGATTGTCCATATCCACCCCCCATTGTCCATTGCTTCCTTCACAGGGGCACGCTTGCTACAACTGATAAGCCTTCACTGAAGCCCATAGTTTACGTTAGGTTTGCTCTGAGGGTTGTACAGCCTATAGTTTGGACAAGTTTATAATAGCATGTCTCTCCTCTTAGAGTGTTTCAGCAGTATTTGCACTACCCTGGAAATCTCCTGTGCTCTGCCTGTTTACCCCACTCTATCCCTTAATTCCTGGCAGACATTGCTCTTACTGCCTCCATAATTTCTCAAGAAACGTCATATGGATGGAATCATAAAATAGCCTTTCACATTTGCTTCTTTCACTTAGTAATATGTATGTAAGATTTCCATATCTTTTTTTTTTTTTTTTTGGTACTGTGGATCGAACTCGGGTCCTTGTGCTTGCGAGGCAGGCGCCAGCACCAGTGAGCTAAATCCCTGGCCCAAGATTTCCATATCTTCGTGGCTTGAGAACTCATTTCTTTTTGCACTGGATATTTCCTTCTCTAGATATGAAAGTGTATTCATTCACCTACTGTAGGACATCTTTATTATTTCCAAATTTTGACAACTAGTAATAAAGTTGCTATAAACATCTGTGTGCAGGTTTTTGAGTGGACAGAAGTATTCAGCTCCTGTGGGTAAATATCAAGAAGCATAATATTTGGACCAGATGGCAAGAATATATTTGCTTTTATAATAAATGCCAAACTGTTTCAAAAGTGGCTTTACCATTTTGCATTTCCTTCAGCAACAATTAAGTTTCCTTTGCTCTACATTCTTGGCATCTGGTTTGATCACTGCTCTGGACTTTGGCCACTAATAAGTACAGTCTTCAAATGTACATCTTACTGTTTTAATTTGTATTTCTCTGAAAACACGACATGGTACAGTTTTTTATATGCTCATTTGCTAAATATCTGTATATTTCCTTTGGAGTAATGTCTGGTAGGGTCTTTGACTTTTAAAAAAAAACATGACACTTGTGTTCTTGTTAAGTTTTAAGAGTTTATATATTTTGGGGTATAGTCCTTTCTCATGTGTTGCAAATATTTTCTTACATTCGGTGGTTTGTCATTTCATTCTTTTAGTAGCGTCACAGGTCAAAAATTTTTAATTTTAATGAAGTTCAGCATTTCAGTTTTTTTCTGTGGATTATGACTGGTTTGTGTCTAAAACCATTTGATTTTCTGGTTTTTGGTTTGTCTGACATTTGTTATAATATAACAGATACATATGGGTATGTGTATATAATGTGTACTGTGACAAATGGTATCAAACTGTGTACTGTTTTCCTACTTCTTTCCTTAGGAATATATTCTGTAGGTCTCTCCATAGCAATATATGGATAGATTGCCCATTCATTTTTTACAATTGGATGATACTTGTGTGAATGTTCGGTAGTTCATTCTGTCAGTTCCCTAGTGATGGGACTTTCATCTTTTTTAGTTTCATAACTAGTGCTATGTATCTTTGGGTTTTTTAATGAGAGTATTTTTTGGAAGAGGATCCTGAAAGTAGGTTTAATAAAAGAGTAAATACATATATTTCTGTGACATTTGTTGTGATGTTTGAAATGTGGTAAATTGGAAGACTTGAGTAAACACTTTATACTTGCAATATAGATAATATTAAAATAGCTGTCATCTACTTGCTAGCCATTCTTTCATCCCTGCAGTTGTATATTAAGCCATCTTATTTTTGTATGCATTTCACTGTAAAGTGCAGGAACCTATTTCCCCTTAAATACATCGATCAGTGTGTACCACTAGTGCAAATTCAATATTTTTATGTTTGTTTTCTTGTAAGACTTTTATATGCAAAGTTGAAGCATATACCTCTAAACCCTTAAGAAGGTATAGAATATTACCATTAGCCCATTTTTTCTCATGCCCATCCTTACAGTTTGCTCCTGCCTTCTCCTAGTTGATTTTTTTTGAGACAGGGTCTCTAGGCTGGCCTTGAATTTGAGGGGATTTTCCTGCCTCAGCATCCTGAGTTCTGGGATTACAGATGTGCACTACCACACCCAGCTTCATAGTTGATGCTTGACCTTGCACTTTCATAGTTGACCACTATTGGGTCAGTTTTTTAAAAAAACATAATCTATAAGGAATTTTGATTATTTTTTAGTCTTGTGTTGAAATTCTTTTTATAAGGAATAATATGAAAAAGTCTGTTTTTGTGTTTCTGTATGAAATTTGAGATATACCACTATTAAAATTGCCCTGGCTAAAGGTGTAGGGAAATGGGAAGGGTAGGGGAAAGATAATAAAGGAAAAGGAAAAAAAAGCATGAGAAAATGAAAAAATGGAAATAAAGTATTTGTAAATAGGGAAGGGAGAAGGGGGTGAAGGGAGGGCAGGGATAAGGGGAAAAAATGAGAACCAAGACCTGTCATGTAAAGGTACAAGATACCAATGATGAATGTAACTGTACTGTCTACCTAAAATGTACCAATAAACTCAGAGGAAAAAA